GTAAAATATGTTTTCAAGTTTGTGAATTAATATCCTAGGTGGCAGAATATGCTTCATTCTAGAATACTTTTTATAAGATTTTCATCTCGAAGTTAGATATGAAAGAATGTGAAACAGATCAGAAAAAATATTTGTAAAATGCATAAAATGTCTATCTAGATGAGTATCTAAGCTGTTTCACAGGAAGAAAAAAAGTTTAACGGTGAAACAGAACTATTCACACAATGTAGCTGTTGTTGCTCATTATAGGGAGCCTATATTTTTGGGACATATTTTTCTTCATCATCCTTTCTCTTAATCTTGTAGGAATGCTATAAGGAAGTACTTAATTTGTTATAACAAACCGTTATTAATATACGATCTGTGCAGAGAGAGAGTTTGGTTCGAATTTTTCCTGCTATACTTCAATACTTCTTTTAGAACGTGTTTTACAGAAGATATTACATTGTGATTTGATTCACTATCGAAAATGTGAAATAGGCATATACACTTAATCGTCGAAAACGAAAGAAGATTTTATCAAAGCACAGTTCTAGCTCAAATTTTCCGCACAGTTCCTCGTCGTTTGTAAGAAAGGATTCTACTTCCTAACCGATATATAAGCCAACACTTACTTATACAAAACCCAATATTTTCTCAAAATAAAAAACACTTTCTTAGTCTACTAGACTAAGGAAATCTTATGGCTAGCCCGACAAAAACATCTTGACATTTATACGAGAATTTCGATAGGCTACTTTGATCTATTCATCTGATGTAAGAAAAAAGAATTAAGGAAAGCTAGGACTAATTCAAGACTTGTTGTTGCACCGCTCCTGACTACTACGATTTTTTTCCTCGTAACTTTATCAATAGATTTTAATCTTCTATTTATATAAGACGATCTAAATTTTTTGTTTATAAAACTTACGCGCAATGTAATTGTGGATGGCCAGCATGTGATGGTGATGCTAATATACTCGAAAATTGTTGTAATAGTTGTGCACGTATTGATGTTGGTATACGATGAAGACGAAACGTAAATAATTCTGCCAATAAATGTGCACCTAAAAACCAATTTTTACTTATAATCGTATCTGCTAGATTTAATAATTCTTTTAAACGATCTTGTTCAACTTCTGGAAAAGCTAATAAACGTGCAAATGATTCAACACCACCGGGTGATACCATTGACCACTGGGTTGGATTAAATAAATTTTTTAATATTATATCACTATAATATTGTCTTGCAATAAGACATTTAACATGTGCACTCATTGCATCTAATGATCGATATGGTATACCTTCTGATGGTCCAAATACATTATGACTCATATGACTTGCTGGAATTGATTGTGAAGTATTAAGTATATAAACTTTAAATAAAGTATCCATATAAGGTGAATTTAATTTTGGATCATTACCAACTAAATCTAAAAAAAAGAATAAATGGTATTCATTAGAAAATAAATACATTTTAATAATTAAATTAACATACTCCAACCGATAAAAAATCGATAATCATCAATTGATGATAATTTACGATCTTCCAATAATTTTAAAGCTCTAAAAAGTAAAAAGAACAAATATATAATAATAATAATAATAATAATAATAATAATAGAAAATTTTCATTTTTGCACATACTCAACATGAAGATAAAGTGCATTAGGTGTTTGAGGTTGTGATAATGAATTTGGTTGTGTAGATACAGCTATAACAGGTATAACACGTGTTGTTAAAAAATACCAATTTGATGCAGCTGCTATTGAAACAACTGATTGAAAATCACGATAATCTGGTTCAGGTAATGCTTGACTATCAGGATAAAGTATTCGAATAAGATCAAGTAAAACTAGATAATCTGACCAAGTAGACTAAAAAAAATTCATTTTCACATTTATATATTGCAAAAATAATAATAAATCTACTTTAACATGATTTTTATTTAATACATGACAAAGCATTTGTCCAATTAACCACATAAGCCAATCTCGACCAATACCATAGATGGTTCCAGGAAATGATGCAACCTAAATAATACAAAGAAAAAAATTCTTTTTTATTCAAAAATAAATAAAATATCGATTAACCTTTATATTAATTGTATTAAGAATACCACTTAAAGCTATACAAACATTTTGTACATAAACTAATACAATATGTGCTGTTACAGTCCATAAATGTAATTGACCTGTTTCGTAAAAATAACATGAAGAAAAAATATACTTAAAAAGAACTTTGATTTTTTTATTAAAATAACCTTCAAAATCTTGAATTTTATTTGTTTCAAATATATTCCATATTAATAAATCAGCCAATGATTCTTCAATTGCAGTAATTCGTTGTTTTACCTTGAAAATAAATGTATGAAAAGAAAATTATGACTATAGTTTTATTACTTACATTACGTGCAATACCAACTAAACTAAATGCAAGGTCACGAGAATTAAGTTGTTTTATAACATAACAAAATAATTCGGTTTGCGGTTGAACTTGAGCCTAGAGCGAAAAAAACAACAATTCAAAAATATAATATAAAAAACAATAAATTTACTCTATCGAATGGTAATGGAGCTGTTTGATGAAATTTTAATTTTGCATAATGTAAACGCCATAATATAGAAGCATAATTTGAATATCCAACAATTGGATAAAGCATATCACGACCTTCAAAAAAAAAAAACTTGATATTTGTTTTTCTAAATATGAAACTATCAAACAAACCAGTAATAGATACAAGTTGAGCAGTTGGACGAAATGAATCAATAAATTTTAATATTAAACTTGAAAAACACTTAAAATCAAAAACAGAAAATTATTTTTCTGTGTTCAAATTTATTTGTTTATTCAATATTTACAGGTGGATATGGGTTTTCAGGTTTACCCCAAGGTAATGTTTGCTTTATTTCATTTTGTATAAAATAACTTAATTGAAGATTATTATCAGGATTCATAATAAGAGCAACAAGCTAAATATAAATGAAAATATTTTCAGTATAAATTTTATTTCTATTTCGTTTCATTTGTTTTTACCGTATAAAATTTAAATACTTTTTCAATATCTTGAAGTGGTGTATGTGACATAAGCATTTGAACTTTTTCTAATAATTGTTTAAAAATGTCACGAATACCCTTCACAAAAAAAAAAAGAAATAATAATTTAATTGCAATCTATTATCATTCATGCTTATCTTATTGAAAAACACAAACTCATTTCGAAATTTTTCAATAACAAAGATATTTCTATTTCATGTTTTACCTATCATTTGTTTTTTTATTAAAAATTTCATAGATAGCCTATCTATTTTGAGTGATATGTGTCGGTTACAATTAGATAAACAACATTGATTCGACTCTTTCCGATTGAATTGGCACGATTTCCAACTGTTTCATTTTTTCGAGAAAGGATTCAAAATAAACTCAAACTTTTACTACATTAACAAAAAATGGTGTAAGCATCAATCATATAGGATTAAAATATGAAATATTTTGCAGCGACTGTTACCAATCACAGAAAGATTGTTTTTTATTTCTACCTATTTTGGAACACATTTCTTCACTTACGTTTTAATTAATCCTTCAAAAATATAATCAAAAGTAGTAAGACGTTATCGTGATAATCTTTGATTGTATATCAAGAACGTTTATCAATCGTTAGTGACGTTTCGACGGCCACATTTGTCACGGTCTGTAATATTGTCATGCATAGAAACGTCATAGTGCGAGCGAGGAACATTTTTTTTCTATACTTCATTAGTCCTTTTAGATGGGTCGTAGCCAGCAAGAGTATAAGGGATGTCTAGGTTTCTTCTGGGCCAAAAACAAACATGGAAAAGGTAGAAATAAAAAACTCTTTTGCGAAACAAAAAAATTATTTTCCTATTGATGCGCATTCCCCCCTCCGCCGCATGAACAATTCCTAGCTATGCCTCTGTTTAGAGCATGTTTCACAAAAGCTAGATTTTTCATAGTTAGATATTACGTAAATATCAATGCTATAAAGAGATATAAATACGCAACGAGATATAGTATTGTGTTCTCGTCGTGTTTTCCCATCATAGTAAAATCTAAACTATGTTCAGACTATATCTGTAAGTCTCTATTGAATTGTCTTATAAAATTTATCATATTCTTTCTTACTTTATAATCTGGAAAGCGTACAAGAAATTGAAGAAGATCCATAGCTGAATTCCATATTAATGCTGGTAATGCAAAATTCATTCGTGAATGTTGTAAAAGACCTTCGGCAAATGGTCTACATAACAAAAAATACAATAAAAAAAAACAATATGTCTTTAATTTCAAAAATTATCTTTTTATTACTTTGCTAAGGATGGTTGAAATTCAACCATTTTTTTCAATAACTTATTAATTGTATACATTCGTGGTGCATTTGTTGAATCCATAAATAGTTCTACAAATGGACGAACAAATGATGTTGTATCCTAAAAAAATATTTTTGTACAAAAAATCTAATATTAATTAATATTATTTTTGTTTTTATATCTATTACTCTAATCGCATTTTGTTCACGCATTTTTGTTCGTACAACATTAATAACATGTTCGGTTAATGCTTCAATATCTTGAACATTTGATAAAAGACCACTAATTTCACTTGAACCATCAAGTCCCTGGATACAAAATAAAATACAAAAATAAGAATACAAAAAAAAGATAACTATTTGAAAATAAACCTACAAGTGCTCGTCTACATGCCAAATAAACCGGTTCTTCAATATTGGCCATATCTACAAAAATGCACATTTTTCTCTTTGATGTCATATGTTTATCTGTCTGTTTTTTTTTCTCCTTTATTCTATTCATTTATTTACATGAAATGAAAAACAAACGCGTTAAATCAATATCAGAGAAAAAACTGTTCGAATATGTTTGTTTCTTAATTTCCAATACACAATGGGTGTGTTACAGCGAAAAAAAAATCAAGAGAAAAAAGAACAACAAATATATATTGTGACTATATATTGTCTATAGAATTCAAATAGACAAATATTAAATCTATGATAAAACGGATCCAGTTGTCATTAATGTACATCCTTGTAATTGATGTTCTTGTAATTGTCTTTCTAATCTTGTTATATCCGTTTTAAGACGATCGGCTGTACTCGATAAATCTTTATTTTTTTCTTGTAATTCATTGACACGTTTTTGTAATTCAGCAATACGCGTTAATTTTCGTGTACGACATTTTTGGGCTGCCTGAAAAAAAATTTTTTTTTTAAATTGTTTTGTTTTCATATTAATGTAGTTAAACAAAACAAAAAAATAACCTGTCGATTTCGTTCACGTTTTTTTTCTTTTTTTAATACTTCATTTTGTTCTAAACTGATACGTTCAATTGATGAATTTGTATTATTTGTTCTTAATGTTGGTACATGTTGAGGTTCATCTTTAACTTTATTTAACATAATTGTATTATGTGGTATATGTGTTGTCATTGGACTTGGTGCTGTTGATGATATCGTTGAATTTGATGATTCGTTACCATTCATTGATGTATCCATTGATGATGATATTGAACGATTACGTGCTATTATATCTTGTCCTTGTTGTTGTGGTGTCATACGATTTGTAATGTATGTTAATAATGTTTCATGCCCTTGAGTTTGATTTTGTAGATCAGCACTTGTTGGTGTTGTTCCTGTTATTGCTTTTTGAATAGCTTGAGCTAATTGATTTAATTGTTCATTATTTGTTGTAAGACGTTGTTCATCACGAACAGATGATAATTGTTGAAATAGATGATGATCATCAGATTGTAAAACAATATATTGACGAGGTGTATTATCTGTATGAGTTTGTTGTTGATGTGAATTAAGTAATTCTTCAAGAATTTTTACACCTAATATATATTAGAAACAAAGAAAGAAGAAATAAGACATCATACATCTCTTTAGATTTCATTGATATGATATCATACCTGGTGAAGGTTGTCCATCAGAAGCAAATGTTATATTATTTCCTGATTGATTTGTGATAGCATTAATTAAATCCGGTGTTTGTAATTGAACAGTGGGTGTTGTATTTGAAACAATAGTATAATTCCGTAATTTTTCATCTAATTCTGGTGTACTTAATAAAAGTTTATTATAATCATTCGGTGTTAATAAGATCGAATTAGCCATACGTTGTCCAGTAAGTTGTAAAGTACTAGGTCGTGATGAGCTCGGAACAGCACGAGAAGGTGGTGGTGACATATTAGTCGTGGTACTAACAGTTTCATTTTGTGCAATAAAAGATAAATTTGGTTCAACTTGATGAACATCTTGTTCATTTTTTGCTGTATGATCATCCATAGTACTATTCAATAGGAAAAGAATAGAAAGTTATATTGAACTAGTGAAAAAACATGCTTACTTACACAGGTAATGATATAAATACAAAGGAAAATGTACGGTTTATATTTTTTCCTTGATACGCAAACCTCCTTTTTGATCAAACGAATAATAGAGCAAAGCAGAAAAAAAATATATTATGTGAAGCAGCAGTTTTAATGGTGGAAGAAAAAGAAAAAAAAAATGCGTGGGTGAGCAAAGCAAGCGCAAGAAAAGTTATAGATGAATGAGAGAAGAAAGGCAAATACAAAAAAAAAATAATAACATGACTCATTGAAAAATCAATGGTTCTTTTTTGTTGAGTCATTGTCAAAGGATCTGATTGGCGAAAAAAATAAAAAGGTTTCAACGAATTATTTATTAACATTTTATAAATAAAAAATAAGAATAAATTATTTTTAAACTTTCACGAAAATTATTTTAGAAGAGAAAGCGTCATCTATCGACAATTTAGATGTCAATATAGCACGCAGCATTTGCCTCTGTATTTTCAAGCAACAGCAATGTTTATTTTGCTCTATTATGTTTTTGAGTTTTCCAATGATGAAAGATGAATCATTCCGAGAACATGTTTGCGTCATCTATGAACTTATGATTATTACGATAATTTAACTATTCCTAATAGCGTTTGGATAATGTCGAATACATTATTCAGAAAATATATTGATATATTTCATTATATAAATGAAGAGTTTCTTGAAAAAAAACGTGATTGTTTATTATGTTCACACTTGTGAATGACTTTGTACAAGATGCATGAAAATGTTTTTTTTAAGGAAGGTAACGTTGTGATTGCAATCAACATCAAAAACAAATTTTATACCAAATAAAAGCGTGTCGAAAGCGGAATTCACCCATACTAAATAGTAATGACTATGACCAATTTTCAATGTCGAATTCATGAAATTCTTAAATTTTTATATAATATCAACAAAAGAAAATTCCATTCATGTCGTAGTTGAAAGTAGACCTCGTACAAAACAATAAATATTAAAGACTACTGAAAACTGTTGGTCTAGAAGTATTGGAATAATAATAAAAAAATAAATCTGAAAAAAAAAATGACTATCAGAGACAAAATACAATCGTTTTTCATGAAGAAATTGTAAAATGAAACAGATTTCATGTTTTTTGACAATCATGAAAACAAACATTCAGCTATATTAAATTACTTTTTGTATTAGTCTTATATTCATGCTGTAAAAGCGCTGTCGCTTGTCATACTAATTATTGTTTATAATCATTAAATCTGAAAAAACATAATATTAATTTTTGATATTCATCATTCGAAATAAGATCTAGTTTGAAATACTTCATGAAAAGAATTTTTCTATGTTGACATGACGTAAGATTTTAGGAATTTACAAAACTTGATATTGAAAAATTGTCATAATTCTTACTATTAAGTATTGATGATTTCAATTGTTAACGTGTTTACATTTGGTATAAAATTTGTCATCAATGTTATTTTAAATCATCGGAATATCTCGCTTGGAAAAATTTTTTATGGCTATGTCATGTCGCTGAATCATATGCTAAAGAGACACAACTATAAAAAAAAAAGATTTTTTTCGATGACTAAATACTCCATCTTTGTTTTTTAACTCATAAAGACTAACAATCATCATATTTCAGAAAAATATTCTTCCACGATTTATAAAATATTTCGAATTTCATATTTAAGAGAGAAGTCTACGAGACCACTACCCAAGGAAGTTGATAAAAAAAATATTGAGTCTTTGAAATGACTTTCTGGTTTGAAAGAGCATAAAAAGGTACTCAGAACCCTAAATTTTAATAACTTTTGGATAATGTTTTTTGGTACTTCGACCAACTAACCATTTCACTCATAATATTGGTTTGTCAAAACATTTGGTTTTTCGATCGTTTTTGTTTATGAAGTTTTCTTCATAAAACTTTGACCAAAATCATCATCAAATTATACCAATTGATAGAGCAGAAGTTGTTCTACGGAGTTTCATATACTGCATTAAGTGCCTCGTACATTGAAAAGACCCAGTATAATAGGTGACATCGACAATTTTTTGGTCTACTTTACATGCTTTGTTTTGTCCTTCTTAGTTTTGTTATGTAGTTATTTCTTCGTCAGCCTACAGTAAGTTTTATATAGTCTTGCAGAGTGTCAAAATATGCATCTGTTGGTAAAAGAAATGTGGTTTATAAAGCGCTAGCAACTTTGAGAAAAGTTCACGAGAATGTTGCTCATTTGGCACCATTTTTAGTATTTTCATGAAAATGTATATGTTCTTTTTAACTAAAAGATCGTTTGTTCTCGAGAAATACCAAGCTGTTTGATAGCAGTCCTAGAAAATCATTCGCAACACGATAAAAGTATCTTGTTCTCACTTTTTTTTCTACTGATGAGATCAAAAAATGAACAAATACTTAATTTAAAATACCTGGTACTGTATCGCTCCTCAGTTATAACTCAGAAATATTTGTTGAACTGAAGATTTTACTAATGATACGGTATGAAAGTCTGATTCTGGATAAAATCAATATAGCTGACATGTTTTCTGTAGAAAACGGTAGGTATCTAGAATTTCAGTGCGAATCTTGTGAATATAGCTTATTATTGAATAAATCGGTAGGCATTTTCGCCAATTGATACACATTCTTGTGTCTCTATTGCATTATCATGTCATTTTTATTCGGTGAGTACCGATATAGATTGTCCGAATGACTTCATATTGACCGTATATAGTTTTCAATATCATATAATTATTAGAGTACTGCATGGACACAAGTCTTCGTACTAGTATTCGACTCGAACAAGAATCATTTACTCCTACCCATCAGTCTAGTGCAGAAATCCAGGTATGAGTGAGGGTATCTGGTATCCGATCTGTGATTTGCCATACTCGAATCATTATACCAAGAATTCTTGAAACCTGTAATTGTTTGCTGGACTCAGAAGTAACAAGACACTCTTTTGCATCCTTTCATCTACCATACTATAGTAGAATAGAATTATAATGCAGTGCATTGAATGACAGGAAAAAATCATTGTTTTTCTTATTGTTTATTTAATAGATGTTGTTACACGAGTTACCAACGTGAATAATGAACGACCGAAATGTTTAATGGCTTTTTCTCGCCAAACAATAGTAAGTCAATGTTTCTTGGTGGACTCTGTAGAATGAACTTTCACAGAAAATATCAGCAAGCAAATTCTATTATAAAGATCTGTTTTCTTGGTTGAACAACTTGCTTTAATAATGAATTACGATTTTGTTTGGTGACATCTATCAAATGTTTTATTTATATGATGCTTGAAAGAAGTCCATGCTCCCATTTTAGATCATACAACAAGACTGTGCCCCGTGCTTTGAAGCCATGCTTGAAACATTGAAGAATTTATTATTCTATTGATTGAAGCGAACATTAATGTAGCATATACAGATCCCTGATGAATGTCTTATTTTCAAAAGATTGAACTCATTCATCGCAATTCAAAACTCATCTAGTTGTATCGCAAAAAAATCCCTAGTTATTCATAATTATTCTAGATATTTGTTGTTGTCTTGAATACGTCAAAAGATGTATGTTTTATGGATTTCGTTCAATAAAATATATTTAAATAGACTAATAATGAATAATACGAGTTCATTGATAATTTTCTTTGTTTTTGAATTTATTTGGAAAAAGATTTGTGAATATTTCGGACTGATCTTCAGTCCATTTTCAACATAAATGACCATTAAAACATATAAAAAGATCTGTGTATAACTATTGTTTTATTTATTTTTTATTCTTCCTTTCTTTGACATTGCAACACATGAACAAACGTTTGTTCGCCTTGCATAGCAATATTAAGGAAAAGAAAACAATATTTACGCATAAAACTTTTTGTATCTTTTACTTATCATTTGTGTTGACCGTTGATGATACGTTCAAAATCATATTAACTATACAACGTCACACTGCACTAACTAAACATTTGATAGATTGGCATTATTGTTTGCCATTTGACCGAGATAAATGTTCTTATACACTATTAGTACAAGAATTTCTTGCTATTGCTAGAAAAGCATCTAGCCTAAATCTGACAACTAGATGAGTACCTTTTCTCATGCTTCCTAAAGGTTCTTCAAAAAGACAAAGAGCTATTTTGAGGTCTTAACTATACATTTTAGCATATAGTCTTTTCACATAAATGCCCACGTCGATCATTCCAACTGTCTGAAACGACGTTTTAAACTACCTAAAACGTTGAAAAAACGGCGTGATTAACGCCCTAAACAATGAAAAACGACCAGCGTTTTTCATCGTTCTTTGGTCGTTTTCCGTCGGCTCGAATTAATGGGTCATTTTTTCTCGAAACGTAAACGACACTGTTTAAGGCCATTTCCGGTCAGTAAACAGTGTATGATATTATGACAGTGCGCTCACCGTCTAGTGTGTTATTTACACTGGTTTTTGTTGTCTGTCATAAGTAAAGAGGAGCACGATATTTCGTTTCCTCCTCACCTTCTGTAAATACAAGAAACAAAATTTGTTTGTTTCAATAAAATATCTATTACTGTATATTTCATTGAGATAAATCTAAATAAAATATTGACTGTAAAATATTTCAATGAGAAATTTAAATGAAAAAAAAAGTATTCATTTAAACAAAACACTTCTCTGGGTGTGGGTGTCGATCTTCTATTCAGCTAAAACCAAGCCCATTCACATCTTAAACCCTCTCCAGCAATAGAAGCCTCCTCCAGAGCGAACAGTGTGAAAGGTGTATTAGAAGCCCCTTGATTTTAAAAACTTTTTGAAAATTTTTGCTGATATTTCCATCGAAAAACTCTCAAAATTCGCGATCTTAAGGTGAGAATATGCTTAATTTCCTTACTTATAAGCATAAAAATCTTCAAATCTCCAAGAAAGTCGTTGGAACAACTGTTAATAACCCTAGAAATCCCTCAAGTCCTTTGAAATCTTTTGCCATAAAAAACTATTGAAAATTGTAGAACTTAACAGAAGCTCGCTCTGAAACTTTCGGATGATGGACAAATTAGAAGCCTCTGGGGGCTTCTAAAGTGGGTGAGGATTTACAGCCATACCCACACCCGAAACATAGGCTTAATTCAATCATAATAATAGGAGAGGACTAACTTTTCGATCTTATTCTACCGTGTCTTGTTCAGAATGATGCACGGATTCAAAATTTTATTTCTGATTCAGATGCATGCAAGTGGAATTGGTATATTCCAATATTAATAACTTTTCATGAAGTTTAATAGAGTGCACAGTTGACATTTGCGCTGTTAAACATCTATTGTGCTTTTTTGAGAAGTAGGGAATACAGAAATTTGTAGCCTTAGCCGAAAGAAGACATTGGGGAAAACAGAAGGCAATTTGGGTTGCTATGCGCCACAATCAAAAAATCATCAATTAAGTAACTATGACGGAATTTTGGCCAATATTTCTTTATTAAAGTACCTTCACATGATTATGTGTTCCATAAAAGCGTCAGTGAACCCATAGGATGAACGTTTACCACAAAATAAATGATTTGATTAATCTCAATCAGACGTGTGCTGCACACGAGAATAATTATTCGTATAAATCATAACTATCAAAAAAAATTATGTCATTTATTGTTTCACATAGCTCAAATTACAAGAATTTCAGGGTCCCTGAAATATCAAAAGGAATCTCGTGCCATAATTTTCTAATGAGCTTGAATCGACTATGAGAACAGAATATGTCAAAATTGAGACCGTGAGAATCGGTATAATATACTTGTGAGTTTCATTTCTACAACAGCCGGTAAAATAGCAATACGATCGCCTTACATGCATAAATTTTTTTATAACATTCAACTACACACAATTAATAGTCAAAATGTGAATGTAAAGTGAGTTTTCAAATATTTCTTCAGACTATTAAAACATGTTTTGAATAAGAACATCAAGCATTTCTATGAACTAACCCGTATTATAGGTAAAATCGAGTATTGGAGAATGACGTCGACGACTCACCACCAGATGTCTGTCTCTTAGGTTTCACTTTAGAAAGTCTTAAGAGAAACTCGAAAGATCCAGTCTTCTTACAAAATAGTAGTTACTGACAACATTATAAGCAGTTTTTGTATGTGTTCATCAATAGTTAACAAAACAGAACTCAGCAAAATATGATAGATAATGATTAATTTGAATTCAGTCGAGGGTCAAGCGAGTTTTGGCAACTAGCATTATCTGTATGTTTTTTACACTAATATTGGATAGAATGTTCTATCGAGATTTATTCATAATATTCAAATGTATCTGAGAAACTGGCCACAGGATTATGTAGAGCAAACTTTCCTGTATGAAACCAACTATGCTACATTTCTATAAGTATAGCCATTTTGAAAAATGTTAATCGACTTTTTATGTGTACTCATCAGAAAAGAATGACACTCTAAGTTGTTTTACAGTGTTTAGTAATATTTTGACTATAACATTATCGTCTTTCAATGACATTGAAAACGTTTCTTACTAAAATGATCAGCGAAAAAAAAAAACGCTACAAATTCTTTTGGATGACTACCCATGGAAATACCCAAATATAACTTGAAACTATATAATCAACACATAATAAATACATTAAAAAAAAGATACTCAAACAATGTAGATTGTTTGTGGATTGATAAGCTTTTGCTTTCTTCATTGTAATTGATGAAAATGAAAGTGGTAATAATCGTTTTTTTTCCAGCAAAATATGAATCATTTAACGTTGGCGCGTTGTTTCTAATTGGAAAACTATCATTTTCATCATTTAAGTTTTCTTCATCACTTTCATTTCCATTTTTAATAATGCAACAATCATTACCATGTAAAACTTTATCTGATGAATTATTAGTTTTATCAGCAATTTTATTTAGTTCTTGTTTCTTCTTTCTCGTCATAACACAAGGACTGTATTGTCAATGCTTGAAATATGAAGAAAATTCAAATGAATTTGTATGTGCAAAAATAAACAATTTAGAACGTTGAATTGCAGCCACATCTTATGTATTCATTAATGTATGTATCTAATGGCATTAAGTATATAACGTAATCATCATTGTTTTTTAAAGTAACATTTTCAAATGCTTTGTGTGAAAATGTTTCGATACTATCCTAAATAACATTGACATAATCGTTGATTGATATTAAATTGGATGCTGCTGAAGATGTTAATATTAATGATGATCCAGTAGGATCGAAACTTGATGCATTTAACAAAGATGTATTGATATAAGCTAAGAATGATTCATTTTTGAAAGATGACGATGATGACCTTGAATGCTTTGTTTCTTTCATGTATTTATGGTACTTTTCTTTATGTATTGCTATCAAATCCTCTATATCAGTTTTGATTCCTCGTTTGATAAAAATATTATTACTAATATCTTCATCAATAGAACACATAAGATTCTGTGGTCATCAAGTTCTTTACATTTAATAGACATTACAGCCAACACATCTGGAACATTTATCAGTGTTCTAAAATTTTTAGTAGATTGCAATTTTGTTAACATCGATTCGTCGACAAGTAAGCATTCTTCCATAAGTGTTTAGAACTGTTTGTTCCAGTAAAAATACCTTCATCGAAAAAATTATTTAACTTGATGGTCATCGAGTACAATATACTTTTTAGAGAAAGAAGAAATGCATCCGACAGGAGCAGTACCATTATAACAGGAAAACCTAGTCTCTTTTGTTATCGTTCAAACGTGATTATTTCCACAGATAAGAAGGAATGAAATTTAAAAAAAACGGAAACATATTCAGTGCATTATCAAGAGTCTCAACGAAAACATTCCGATTGACTGGCGTCAAACGGATTCATAAAGCACTCTATTTTTTCCGTCAAAAATGAATAAACCCAAAGTTTTTGATTCGATATGGCTCACAAAACAATCGAGAGAAAAAAACAATAGAGACAAAAGCTATAAGTCTCTACTGATATTTACAAACACTGACCAATATCCACGAGATCTGGAAATCCTGGATACAATTTTTCCCTCTTGGCTTGAGATTATGAATATGACTCAACATGGATATATATATTCATTCTCAAGAAGAAAAAAACGTCAAATGTTTTATATTCAAAAACAAAATTTATTAGTTATTATTTTCTATATAAAACAAACGTAAACAAAAAGCAATATCACCAATCTTTATTTCTCATAACATGACAAAAACAAATAAGCAAAATACACATGAATATACTTCTATAATAACGAATATGTTGATAAAGCACCTAATCATATTTATTGGTTAGATAATGTCCAAAATTAATATTATGAATGCAAAGTTAAGATAGCAAATATTATATGTGTGTTAATTTAGAAGATGAATATTTTTTCTTGTGAAAAGTTCATTGCTTCTAAATAGGAATAATACAGATTTCCATTTATCAACAAAAGAAAATTCATTAAAACAAAAGAAAGTAAAAGTTTTCAAAAGGATTTAACGATTTTATTTTTGTCTTTTCATCATCCTTTAAATGCGTACTTGATCACTTGTTGATGTTACTTTTACTTTTTTTTCCCATCCATAAAGAAATGTAGCGGCTATAACTAATATTGCTCCCATAAAGAAAAATCTAATCATAAAAAAATAACAATCAATCGATTAAAAATATTCATGAAAATGAATTTCTTACAATGATGGTGCAAAATCATTTAAAACGAAATATGAAACAACTGATGAAAGAATAATTGAAAGAGAAGTTGCAAAACCTTTTATAATATTATCAGCATATTTAATCACAGCAGCTATTATTAAACCACCAATAGCCTATGGAAAAAAAAACAGAGCCGTTCATTTAAAAGATTAAGTTGTTGTATTTTCTTTTTCATTACTTGAAGGAAAATAACAATCCATACAACTGTTGAATACCCTTGAAAAAAGCCTTTGTCCATCACAGCTTTATAATCAAAAATACAGACAATTACTAAACCAAAAATAGTTCCAAATATAGCTATAAAATAATAATTAGATAATTAATAAACATATGATATTTTTATTTTAACCTAATTGAATATTTCGAACCCAAACAGAAGTAGGTCCAGTTTTGAGTATTTTCTCAAAATAAACACCAGCAAAACCTGATGTTAACGTTGCCATCAATACAGCACCAAAACCAATAAATTGTTGTAACCAAGATTTTTGACTTTGTGTTACTGAACGTTTATTAACTTCATCTGATGATGGCCACTACAAATATTTCAAATTATTTTCTTTTATTCTTTTTCTATTTAATCTTTGTCTTACTGTAACAAATGCAACACCAATTGCAAGCATACATAATGATACCCATTGATGTTTTTGTATTTTTTTACCAAGCATAAAAACACAACAGAGTGCTGTTGTTAAAATTTTTAATTGATACGTCACTTGATAAGTTGCAGCATTTAAATAAGATAATGCAATAAAAAGAAGATTATTTTGAATAGCATATAATCCACTTGGTATAGCTAATTTTACTGTTTCATATGGTTTACCATAGATTTCATCATTTAACTTTCTTATCAAACGATTCAATGAACAATCTATTTCAATTCTATATATTTAAAACAAGAAATATGTTTTTATTTTTATCTTTATACCTGTTTCAAACCACACAAGAATAATACAAATTACTCCTTTAAGAAATTCTGAAGCAACAATAGCTGTTGATGATATATATGGTTCACCTTTACGTGTACGCGAATAGCGTAGTACAAGAACAATACCAGTTGTTTGAAGAATAAGTGCTATCAAACTGATCAATTTGCGATTGTTTTGGTTAAATACCTTCAACAAACATGATAAGAATAGTAAAACCGTTGCGCAAGATTTAACAATCCAATGACAACAATAATCATAGAAAGCAAAGAGAAGCAAAATGAAAATAAATACTTACTGGGCGCATTTGTTTGATAATTGTCAAGCACAAAATAAGTATCGTTGATGCTAGAGAAGGAAATAATGGCGTCAATAAATCTAGAGAGCATAAGCAAGCTATGACATCAACAAAGTCTACTAAGAACATTATTATGAAGATAATTATCAAATACAAATTCAGTTTGTCACATAAATTAAATTGATATAATACAAAGAGAAATACCATGTGATTATATATAAATAAATATATCAAAAGCAATACAGAACGTTTTTTCTCTTTTATTTATACCTCTATTGTCATTGTTCAGATCTGAAGGAAAAAAAACAATGTTTCGTAGTTAAACAGGTAAGCGTTGTTTATCATCGTCTTTTTTATTTCTTTCAAAGAAAAACAAAACAAAGGCAAACAGCCAAACTTTAACAACATCCTGATTCCAGAAGTTTTAATCCATTACAATATTGAAAATCAGCACTGTTCACATAATCACTTATGTCTAAAGCTACCTCACAACTTTCACGTACAACACGTTCCTTATCATTTAAATATGTTTCAAGAATATGTCGACATTCATCTGTACCAATTGAACCAAGTGTTTCAGCACATTCATGTCGTACCATATAATTTTCATTAAGTATTGATAATTGTTGATGAAGTGCCGGTATTGAACATATGGATTGAAGTTGTCCAAGTACAAAAGCAATTTCATGACGAAATAAAGCACTAGACGCTTGGAAACCTATAAAAACAATTTATTTTGTTAAGTAAATACCTCTTTAAAATTTTATTTCTCATATTCTTATTGTCACTTGTATGTCATCACTACAAATGTATAGTTCAAAATTCTGCCGATTACACACTTTTAAAAGAAAATTAAATTCATTTGCCTAAGAATAAGGAAATATTTTTTATTATCTCGAATAGTTATAACCTTTTGGCTATTGTTTGCTTCAACTAGAAGCTTTTAAAAGAATTTTACAAAGATTTTCTTAAGCTTTCTAATTCAACTTCTAAATTTCAGTTTTTTAGTATTCTTTTAAATGTGAATACTTTTTTTTAACCTTAATCATTTTGTCTCTAAATTGATCAGATGTCTATTAATTCATGCAGCTAAGTATCTTATCACGAATTTCCATTATATCGTCAGATCTGTCAATACTTCATGTATATTTTTAAAACAATCAAAATAGTTAGTTCTTTCTTCGGTTCCTATACTCAAAGGAAGGATGAATACCTCTACCGTTCGGCTACCTTGCAGCAGATTCAAGAGACCGAGCTCCTCATACACCCTCCATTAACCATCTACTATCCATAATAACAGGTATATGCTACAACGTAGTCAGCATGCTATCAGACGGGTTATCCAAGACAAATAGTCGTTAGTCACTTGTCCAGGATCTTTCCATGACCAGTGGTAATGAGCTTTGCACATAGTACTTTGCGAATACATGTCGAACAATGTAGTCATTCAGCCATTTTGGTTTTGACTCCTATGCTGACATACAGAATATATAAAATTTATGTACAATGTTTGGTTCATCTGATCAATAATATGACTATTGTAATTTAAACTAAGAGCAAAAAAAAACAATAATACCTTCACATATGGCAAGTACAGCTTCATCACTACCAATATTACGTAAAGCGAATAAAGCACGATAACGTTCATATAATGATCGGTTTTCATCAAGTAAAATTTTTTTAAGTTCATCAATTGTTGTCAAAGTTAAAGCTGGAGCTGGATCAACGGTTGAATAGATTTTCTCTGTTGAAATCGAAGATGATTCATTAGATGCCGCTTTTCTTAACCATGCTAAACGATCAAGTGCTATTTGACATGTTTCAGAAATCTAAAAAAATGATCTTAGTGTATAATTTCAAAATAAATAAAACATTTCTCTTGTTTATTTTACCTCTGCACGTAGATTTTGACTTTGTTTAGTTAATGTATCAATTACATCTTGATTATCAAAACATCCCAAAGCACCTAATGCTTCTCCTAAAATAATGAATATATTCAATGTTACGATATTGCTTTTCTTTTGTTTACTACAGACCTGCTTCATGTCGTACCATTGTATCTTCATTGGAATCGTTTAATACTTGAATGAGTTTAGTAATAGCATTTTTATTACCCATTTGACCGAGACAATAAGCACATTCATGTTTTAATAATGCTGATGTATCATTAAATGCACGAGAAATAGCTTCAACTACAGTTGATGTCTTTTCTGATTGATTTTTTTGACCTTGACTATCGAGATTTTTTAAAGTAAATAGTATACGAAATCGAAGTTTAAGTGGTAATGATGTATCAATTAGCATAGATGATAATTTTTCAATTGTTGTTTCGTCAGCAATAGTCGACATGATAGCTAATTTCAAATTAAAAACCTTTTGAAAAGCTTCATAGTAAACGAATATCACTCATTCTTGTTATCATTCGATTGGTTAATAAGTATCAACCAATATCAAATTACATATTGTCCTTCATCAAAGAAATATAATTCGAATAAAATAAAATTTTTTTAATTTAATTTAACAGATATAATTAATTTGATATTATTTTTCTTATTTTTTAAATATATACATTTAAACTAAAATAATTCTTTCTCATCAAATTTCCTACATTATAAATCATCATGACTGTATCTATCCACGTTAATCAGGTTTTTATCTATTTTTTTTTTCTTCTCTTTCGTCACTTTACTATTGTGTGTGTACTTGTGTGTGCGAGTGCGCCGTTTTTTCTGTTGGTATAAAAAAAAAAAAAAAAAAAAGTACAAAAAAACGAAAAACTTTTCTTAAACTTCACCTTTGTGTGAACCAAAAAAAACGTAAAATCTCGTTCAAAACAAGAAAATACGTGAACTACCCCCGTAACTTCTCGTTTTCTTCCATAACAATACAAAATAAAAAAAAAAAGTCGAAAAAACCAACAACAACATCAACGGTAAACAACAAAAAAAGAAAAAAATATGGCAGCAACTAATATTAGTGCAGGAGCTCCGAGTTATCCAATGGCTTCATTATATGTTGGTAAGTTAAAATATTTTCCAAATTCATTTATAATCAAAATTAATAATAGGTGATCTTCATGCCGATGTTACTGAGGCTATGTTATTCGATAAATTTGCAAGTGCTGGACCTGTACTTTCAATTCGAGTCTGTCGTGATATGATCACACGACGATCACTTGGCTATGCCTATGTTAACTTCCAACAACCAGCTGATGGTAAATATAATGACTTCGAAAATTGAACATACAGATTTAATTGTTTTCAATGATGATTTAAGAAAAATAAACTCTTTATAGTATTCCTAAAATCGAAAATCTCTAGGAAACCAGAAACTTTGTTTTTCACCTTTCAGCATCCGAAAATCAAAGACTCTTTTGATTCATAAAGCAATTGATGTCTAAAATTATTTTATCTCCCTTAAATTTTAGTTGAAAACAATTTTCTTTATCGAACGCAAAAAAAAAAACAATATTTGATTATTTTTTAGCTGAGCGTGCACTTGATACAATGAATTTTGATTTACTTCGCAGTCGTCCATTACGTATAATGTGGTCACAACGTGATCCAGCATTACGTAAATCAGGTGTTGGCAATGTATTTATTAAAAATTTAGATAAAAATATTGATAATAAATCACTTTATGATACATTCTCAGCTTTTGGAAATATTCTATCATGCAAAGTATTTATTAGTTTAAAAAATAATAAAATAAATAATTTCTAAGAATATTATTTTGTAAATATAGATTATGACTGATGAAAATGGACAATCAAAAGGTTTTGGTTTTGTTCATTTTGAAACACAAGAAGCAGCAGATAATGCTATTAATAAAGTAAATGGTATGTTACTTGCCGATAAAAAAGTATTTGTCGGTCGATTTATGTCACGAAATCAACGTGCTGAATCTAGTGGGCCACGTAAATTTACAAATATATTTGTAAAAAATTTTGGTGATCAATTAGATGAAGAAAAATTACGTGAACTTTTTTCAAAATATGGTAAAATAACAAGTTGTAAGGTACAATTAATTTAAACAATAAAAAAAGAATTAATTTTTGTTTGTAAATATAAAGGTTGTTATTGATGATAATGGTCATTTAAAAGGCTTTGGTTTTTGTAGTTTTGAAACTCCTGAAGAAGCTGAACAAGTAAATTATGAAATTATTTCTTCTTATTATTATATATGTAAGATTTATTTTAATATAGGCTGTTCAAAATTTAAATGGTTATTCAATAGGTGATAAACAAATATATGTTGGCCGTTTTCAAAAAAAGAATGAACGACAATCAGAAATCAAACGTAAAAAAGAATTACAACGTCAAGAACGAATGAATAAATATCAAGGTGTCAATTTATATATTAAAAACTTAGATGATACTATTGATGATGAAAGATTAAGAAAAGAATTTTCAAAATTTGGCACTATAACAAGTGCTAAAGTAAAATTAATCGAATTTCTTTTTTTTTTCTAATTTAATATGTTTATTTTTTTTTTTGTTTTAGATTATGTCTGAAAATGGCCGTTCAAAAGGTTTTGGTTTCGTTTGTTTCAGTGCACCTGATGAAGCAACAAAAGCTGTTACAGAAATGAATGGTTCAATTGTAGGCTCAAAACCACTTTATGTTGCTCTAGCACAACGAAAAGAAGAACGTCGTATGCATTTAGCTAATCAACATATGCAACGTATAGCAACATCACGTGTACCTCCACCCATTCAATTACCATTTCCAAATAATATGGCCGGCATGATGTCATATTTACCAACACCAATGGGTCCATCACAACCACGTAATTTCTATCCACCAGCAGCATTACCAACATATCGAGCAACACCACGTTGGTCAGGAGCAGCAACAGCTGGTGGTATGAGACCACAACCAGGTATAATTAAAAATTATCAATAGAGTATTTCATTAATGAGAGAAAGATCTTCGAGTGTGACATACCAATATTTTGCTCACCAAGAGATCTCACTGAGACTTACTTTCACATACTCTGTCTTGTTTGAGTTACGATTGTTTTACTGCCTCAGGCAAAGCATATATGTCCTGAAAATTTATATCTATTGAAGACATTTATCGGCCTCTAAATTTTCTTGTGATATATATCAGAGCTATTTATCATCAACATTCCATAACTGGATCCTTTTGAAAAACATTTTGCGTGAGGCAGAAAAATGATTCGTGTGAGAAATATCAATGTGTCACACATGAAGATCTTATCTAATAAGAAAAATATTTCTTAACTAGGTGCACAAATGATTACTGGTATGCATATACCACCATCAATGGCTACAACACAACATCGAACAGGTGCAATGACTAATTTACCAACACGATCGGGTATGCCGATGGGAACACGACCAACACCAACATCCGGTCAAATGATGACTGGTGGTGCTGTTCGACCTCAAACCGGTGTACAACAACAAAATACAGCTTATACACGTACAGCACGAAATCTACCACCAAATGTAAAATTTCGTTTTTGATATGATTTTTCTAAGCAAAAAAAGATAATTTTTCTCATTATAGAATGCCGGTGCATTTTCTAATTCAATAGTTGTTGCTGGCCAAGAACCATTAACACCAGCTGGTCTTGCTAATGCAACACCACAAGAACAAAAACAAATGTTAGGTGAACGTTTATTTCCATTAATTCAACAAATGCAACCAGAGTTAGCTGGTAAAATAACTGGTATGCTTCTCGAAATTGATAATACAGAACTTCTTCATATGCTTGAATCACGTGAATCACTTAAATCTAAAGTATGTTTTATAAAATATTACAAAAGAACTCAATAACATCATTGTTTTTTCTATTTTATAATAGGTTGAAGAAGCTATTGCTGTACTTCAAGCTCATCAAGCTAAACAAATGTATGCTGCTAAACAAGCTGCAACAAATTCAACTACTTCATAGAGCAAAAAAAAGCGTGTGTTTTTTCGTTTCTCTTTTTTGGTTTTTTCTTTCTTGTCGTCATGAAATACAAGCAAACACAGTCACACAGATTTTGTCTTTTATGTTTTTCTTCCATTATTATGAGCAGTTGAATCATCGGGAAACATTTTTTTTTGTTAACTTCTATTTACTCGTTTTCATTTTTTTTTCTTTTCTTCTGTTTTGTTTTCGTTCATTCATTTATTATTATCACTTGTTGTTATTATGTGCGAAAAATATGACGCGTTTTTCAAAAATAAGATTATCTACATTATTATAAAACAAGACTTCAAAAAAATAGAAAAACTATATGAAAAAAAACTCTTCTCTGATTTTAAAACTAGGTTCTTGCTGTTTGTTATTGTTGTTATTACGTTTCTTTTTTCTGACATTAAGATATGCATAGTACTTATTTCTATTTGAAAATATCTTAATCAATTCCGAAAGAAAAAGAAATTTGTCAAACATAAATGTATGCGTCCTTGTGTTTTGTCTTTGAAGAGATCAATAAAATAGAAACCTTCTCTCTGATTTTCGATTTTTATTGAAAATGTAACAAATATTCAAATGATTGTCAAACAAGAAAAAGCCGTAACAGTAAATCTTTTATTTTGCGTCGCATTATACAAGTTGAAACGATAAATGAAAGTAACAAGAGCATAATAAAATTCTATTTTTGAAAGGAAAAAAAAAGCAGACGATAAAAAACTCTTCTTCGATAATCAACTATGAAATCTATTGTATTTCTATTAGAATTGTTCATTTATGTACAATGTGAGATTACATATATTGAAGTAAAATATCCATTAAAGGTAAGATAACCAGAGTATTTGCGCAGATTCTCTTTATCTATCAGTCATTGGAGAGAAAAAAGAGATACGTAATAATAGTTTCAAAAAATGCAGGTCGTCCTAGATCAATGGCTGATAAGTATTTTCATTGGAATTATTTCAGCTGAGATTGAATTCATCACTGTTCGGCTACCATTGAAAGTAAAGTATATTATATTAGTTTAAGTTTCTCGCAAAAACTATTTTATAATTTAATGAAGAAATGTCTATAAGCGTGAACAGTGATAGGACATCTATAAGTTTTAAAGTATGATAACTATATAATATCATAGGAATGTAAAAAGATACTCTTCACAAAATAAGCACGTTTAGCCGATCGTCTTTTTAGCAGTTCTAAAGTATCTATCAAACACATCTTCTTTTTTTCAATAATTATATTGAAAAAAAAATTGTTCGATACGTTATAATATTTTCAGGGAGAACATTCACCACCAAATGCAATATGGCCACATCCACAACAAATCAATGCTTCCAACGAATTACTCTATATTCGTCCACATGCTATTATGATTCATTCTAATATTCAGACATGTGATATTATTACAAAAGCTATTCAACGATATGAGCCAATTTTCTTTCCACCAAAACTTTCAATGCGTGACCCACCATCCGGTGTAAATAACATTCTACAAAATTTAACACTCAATATACGTGATAATCCTCAATGTGAACAATATATTCAACAAAATTCAAATGAAGCTTGTAAGTAAAAAAGTATTATCAATTAGCAGAAACTATGTCATTTGATTATTATTCATTCATATTTAGATACTTTAACCATCAATCTTCAAATGGCGATTGTTGAAGCTAGTAGTGTTTGGGGTTTATTACGTGGTCTCGAAACATTTTCACAACTTATCTATATTAATGAACAAAATTATGTATGTTCACTTTCAATACATCATTCATTTTATGTATTTATTGTTGTTCTTTATCTAAATATTTCTTTCCTAGGTTGTTATCAATAATTCTGTAACTATTATTGATAGTCCCCGTTTTCAACATCGTGGTGTTATGCTTGATACAGCGCGACATTTTTTACCTGTACCAATTATTAAAAAGAATCTTGTAAGTCGATGAAATGAAA